TTATCTGACAGAAGACCAACGTGTCATTACCATTATTATAGCCACTGGTGGTTCCAAGAGAGAACTGCAGGCGGATGAACTGCTCTCTGCTACTAAATGGAGCAGAAAGCTCCTTTATTTTCTCAAGAGCAGCGTTGTTAGTAGCACCAGGAGCGATGGATTTGCAGGGGGTGGTGGATAGGCAGTCCAACAGCTGCTTGGCAGGGAGGCCCCCTCAATTGGTATGCTTTGTATGGAAAAGGGTGAAAATTATTTGGAAAGAATTAGTAGTCAGCCAGGATATGAGCCCAAGCAATCTCAATCCAGAATCCAAGCCCTTAACTGTGGCTGCTACACGGTCTCCTCCATGGAGGTTAGGACCCGGCAGTGTACAAGGGAAGGGAAGATACCTTCATGGCAGAGGAGAAGGTGAAGATCCCTCATTTCATATACATACACGAGGCGATATCTTTATGATTGCCTGTAACATCTAAAAGAACCTACATTTCTTTTTGTTTTGTTAATCCTCACCAGAGGATATTTTCTCCATTGATATTCAGAGAGAGTGGAAGAGAGGGGGAGAGACACACACATCAACTCGTTGCCTCCTGCAAAGCACCCTGACTGGCACCGAGGTACGTGCCCTTGACTGTCTGTGGACCAACGCTCTACCCACTGAGCAGATCTGGCGAGGGCAAGAACCTACACTTCTGAAGTCAACAATTTGTTTAGACCTAACTACTATGTCAGTTACAATTTATAACAACTCTTCCTCCTTAACCTCAGAGAGAATTTCCTTTCATTTATCGCGAGAAACCAACCGTGACAACAGACTACATGAGCCCACTTCAGTTAGTGACAGACCAGCGACTCGGATCTCTCTCCAGCTTCCACCGGGAAGCTCCCTTGTAACGCGGCGCCTTCCTGGGGTGGGAGCTGGGAATACAGATGGGTTTGCTGAAACTTGGCCCTAAAGCAGAATTTTGTGGCAGGGACTATGTAACCCAGTCAGCCATAATCCACTGTAGTAATTCTCTATTTTATCCATATATGTGTTTCCACATTTTAAGATGTAATTGATGGTATGTGACAGTCTTATAGTTCAAGCAGCATTTTTTTTTCTTTTTCAGTGGTTCATAAATAATAGTGTATCTTACAATGAATGAAATTGTAGATTTGATGAAATATGGTAATTACATTAAACATATATTGAATCCCACTATAGTTCAAGGTCTAGATTTGGCTAGAGATGGGGGAATGAATGAAATGGAGTCCCTAAATCCAAGCAGCTGGAAGACAGGGAAACAAGTACATGCAGACCCAGAGCTAAATATTTTGCAGGGGATGAAATGCCTGTTGTGGTGGCTGGACACACTGTGGGCATCCCCTGGGTAAAGTGGGGTGTGTTTAGGGGGTAGGGGCATAAAGGAGAGAAGTGGTGAGAGATGAGGCATGAAAGTAGTTTGGAACCAGGTGACTGACCAGTCATGAATGCTTAACCTAAGGATTTAGGCTTTATCTTTAGGTCAGTGGTTCTCAAACATTTTGGTCTCATGACCCCTCTATACTCTAAAAAATGACTGAGGACCATAAAGAGCCTTTGTTTATGTGGCTTATATCCACTAATACTTTCATAAACATGAAGGTGCTCATCACCACCCTTATCCTCAAGCTTGTCGTTGTTCTAAGGCAGTGGTTCTCAACCTGTGGGTCGCGATCCCTTTGGCGGTCAAATGACCCTTTCACAGGGGTCGCCTAAGACCATCCTGCATATCAGATATTTACATTACGATTCATAACAGTAGCAACATTACAGTTATGAAGTAGCAACGAAAATACTTTTATGGTTGGATCACAACATGAGAAACTGTATTTAAAGGGCCAGAAGGTTGAGAACCACTGTGAGGTAAAATGTGCTAACCCTTCCCAAAGGGCTAAAGCTGGCAGGATGAAACAGTTAGTACTGCACTACGGAATGGAGCCCAGGAAATAAAACAAAGGCAGAGATAGTCAGTTGTAATAAAAGTAAACTATTAAAACCTCAGTGGCCCTGCCTGCCAAAGATTGCATCCCTCAGCCCCTATCAGGCCCACATAAGCCCCAACGACTGCTGATTGTGAAGCATTGACCTAGAGAGCCTGGGTGTTTTTTTCCTTAGCATCATCTGACATAACGAATATGATGCACACTTTACCAATCATGGCTTAGAAGCCCCCCTGCCTAGCCACAGGGACAGCAAAGGGGCCACACTGCTGGTTTTTGGGGTGTGATAGAGGTGCCAGGCGGGAAGAAAAGACAGGCATGAACAAGGAGGTCAGAAAGACCTACGTGTGAATTTCAGCTCCATCACTCACTACTGGATCACCATGGACCAGTCCTTAACCTACTCATTGGTCACACTTCTTCATCTTAAAACAGGTACCTTTAAAAGAAATGAGAGGATGCAGGGAAACTGATCAGCAAATGTCTGTGAACACAGCAGGTACTCAAGAGGGTGCAGATTCTCTGGCGATTATGACTCATGAACTGGCTCATGTCCACTAGTAAGTAATTGCTTGTTTGTTTTTAACAGACACCCTCTTCAGTAAACTAACGATGACTACAAATTCTTACTAATGTTCCCGTTGACAGGTGGAGTCCAATCCCTCACCCCTTGAACCAGGGTTGGTCTTAGTGACTTCCTTGGCCAACGCGATGTGGCTGAAGCACTGTCTTGGGATTTCTAAGCCTAATTCATAAGGAGCCTTGCAGGCTTTGCCCTGGCCTCACAGCCGTGAGCCGCCATGTAGGAAGTCTGTACACCCTGAGGCCACTGTGCTGTGAGGAAGCCCCACTGTGTCATGTGAAAAGGCCTCAGGAACAATAAATGTCGGGCCAGCCCCAGCTGTTCCAGCCTCCAGCTGCTGGGGTTATGCCAGCCCAGATCCCAGACACTGGAGTCTCTGCCAACCCCTGCCCAAACTGCACATTCGTGAGCAAAATAAGTGATTGTTAATGCTTTAAGCTACAAAGTTGTGAGGTCGTTTGTTATGCAACAAAATATAATCAGAACACTCTCTTTATCAGGTCTCCCCCCCTCCCCCACTCAAAATTAAAAATATCAGTTTGCTGAGTTATATTAAGTTACATATTAAATTTATGTTGGTTCTGTAGTTCTCAAGTCTATTTTAGACACTGAAAAACATTTTGTTTGTGGACACTGTTAATCTAGGCATAACTTATTAATTGGTTGACCAATGATATATATGAGCTATTATGTGTGTATGTGTGTATTTGTATGCATGCATGGCAGATATTTTTCTAAATATCCAATTCCTCTCATGAGAAAAAAATGCTACAATAACAGTACTTCATCTCAATGAACTTGTGAAAATCATGCTCTGAAGTCAGACTAATTGAATCTAGTGCCTGAGTGCTCCACTCTCCCAGCTCGGTACAAAGCTGGGCTCTAGCCCACAACCAGCTACCTAGTAATCAGAGCAGTTTATCGAAGGCCACTATCTACCTTCCTCCTAACCAGTAGGAAGCTGCCTACTCTGGGCTGCTTGCATTGCCAGGTGAGTTTGCAAGGAAAGTGTTAAGGCAGAGTAGGTTTATGCAGCGATCCAGATAATCTTTGAGGAAACCCCTTCAGGTTTTGTATATGCTCCACTTTGAAAGGGCCTTGTGATAGCATAAGACTTGACTCTGAACCACGGAATACTCACCTGATGCCTTTCAAACAATATTGGACCTTATAATATTATGCAAACTTTGGGGCATATAATCAGCATACGTGAAAAATATTTTGCTGCCTCCCAAATTGACTATACTCTTTTTCATTTCCTGGTTCTTCTGCCTGCAAAGCCTGTCTCTCCTTCTTGAGGGTGTGTGTGTGTGAGTGTGTGTGTGTGTGTGTGTGTGTGTGTGTAATCTTATTTTCCCTTCAGATGTCCCCTCTCCCAGCAAGGCAGAATTAATCATTCCTTGATGACATTGCTTCTTCAACCTGTAAAGCCTCTTCTTTAACAAGAAAGCTTATCATTAAAAATAAAAAGAAGCAACAATAAACCCACAGTCCTATGGAATACATGGAGAAAGGACTTAAGAGTCCCTATAACTCTTGGCGACATTCCACCAGGCTGAAAACGGGTTGACGTGATCTGTGTTTCAGGGATTATAATTCAGCAGCAGAAATGAGTTGATTAAAATACCATCCAGAATGCTGTCTGTAGATAAAGTGCTTTGAACTGGGGTGCAACATAACCTGAATTGCTAAATTCTAAGGGCCGACTGATGATTTGCATCTCAATCTCTTTTCATGCTATTTTGTTGGCAAAAGTTAAGGAGCCACTCAGCCTAAGAAAGATAGGCCCTCTATTTACCTCGGCAAGAACCAGACAAACACAATGAATTTCAGATTTTCCCAACTCAATGGCTTTTGTTTGACGTGGAGTGGGTCAGTCTGAACATCAAACCCACCAACTTACAGGCATTAAGTAGCACCTGGCACTTTGCAGCACAACCCACAAAACACATGAGCAACATGCAGAAAGTCATAATTGAATACTTTTCACTCTGTCACCAAACTTAAATTACATTTTCAACACTCATTATTTAAGAACATGTATAACGATGCAAAACATTCCAAGCCAAAGGCTGTGCAGATACTGAATGGTAACGGGTGCCAAGTAACAAAGTCCATAAAACACAGCCTACCATTCCCTCTCCATGGGAAACTTACAGAGAGTCACACTGGAACACCCTTTATTCTGCCACAAAAACAAGAACAATAGTGTTTTTGACACTCACTCTTGAATTAACTATGCAGAACATGTTAATTTAGAATTATTGTAACAGAGTCCACATTACAACGGATACCCAAGGCAACAGAGTAACTTAGACGAAGCAGAGGGAAAATTTACTGTCCTCTCTCATTGACCAAACCCTGGTCTTCCTCCAGAATGTGTGTAAGTTTCTGGCACCGGACAAACAATAACATTTTTATATTCTAGGAAAGAAGAAAGGCGACATCAACTTACTTAACAGTTGGCAATAGAGGGCCTGTAAACTTCTCTTCATGGTATCATCTGGTCCTTCTTGTCCTCCAGTTTATTCATGATTCTGTCTGGGAAATTGGGAGAAGAAAACTGTGATATCAAGTCAATAATCAGAAAGAACTCCACTTCACATGATCCCAGTTGTAAAGGCCACCAGTAAAACACCTGCCTCTGAAGAGGAAACATTCTTGGACTGGATACAACATAGTTTAATTGACAACAGTGTATGTTACAAAACTCCCAGTTAGCCAATTGGTCAAATCCTAAAACTATGCACACCACTAAAGGAAAATTATATGGGTAACTAGAGAGTAAGAATCAAACTTTGGAACTTTCGAGGCTTCCAATTAATCTCCACCGAATCTCCTGAAACAAGAGAAAAAAATTAAAAAATATTTTTATTGATTTTAGAGAGGAAGTGAGAGGTAGAGAGCGATAGAAACATCAATGTTGAGAGAATTAGTGATTGGCTGCTTCCTGCAAACCTCCTACTGGGGATTGAGCACGCAACTGCAACCCGGGCATGTGCCCTGCCCTGGAATTAAACAGTGACCTCCTTGTTCATAGGTTGGTGCTCAACCATTGAGCCACACAGGCTGGGAGAAACAAGAAATTTCTAATCTCATTTCCACTATGGTGCTCACCAAACAAACAACCCAAACATCTTTGGGTTGAAATTATATATTAAATAACTTTTCTGTTATAAAAGATACCTCTAATACAGAACATTTGGAAAATATAGCTAAACAGAAAATATAGGTAAGAAGATACAAAAACATACAAATGACCTATCTCTCCAGCCTTTCCTGTGCCCTTCTATTGGTCAGTTTCATTTACATATTATACATTCTAAATTTCTCTCTGTGTGTTGTAACTATTACTTTACTGCTTTATTTTAAATGGCACACAGCATTACTTTAAGTAAATTCCTAGAAATGAAATCACAAGGACACAACTTACAGCTTTTGAAATATGTTGCCAAATTGACCTTCATCAATACCAGTATCAGGATATCCAATAGACTACAACCTACCCAATGAGAAAAATTTATAACTTCTTTCCGTCTTTGCCAAGGAAACAGGCAAATGTTCCATCGCATTACTTTAGTTTGCATTTTATGTATTTACTAGAGACCCAGTGATGAAATTCATGCATGGTTCCTCAGCCCAGCCTGCAGTCCAGGAAGCTGTCAGTCGAACATCCTTAGTGCTACCGTGGAGGTGGGAGAGGCTCCCACCACCACTGCTGCACTCACCAGCCATGAGTCTGGCTTCTGGCTGAGCGGTGCTCCCCCTGTGGGAGTGCACTGACCATCAGGGAGCAGTTCCTGTGTTGAGTGTCTGCCCCCTGGTGGTCAGTGCACATCATAGCGCCTGGTCATTCCGCTGTTTGGTCGATTTGCATATTAGCCTTTTATTATATAGAATTAGTCATTTGTCTTTAAAAATTATTTTAATTCACATTTGACAAAGATGCTCCTCCTGAACCTTCTTCATAGGCCCTTCCATGCACTTTCTTGTCAAACCTAGTTTTAGCAAGAACCCTGCTAAGTCAGTTTAACTGCCCCCCACCCCCTACCCCATCAATATCTAATCACCCTCAATATATGATCTGGTCCCTCATCCTCCACTATCCACAGGGGATGATCATCCTGGCTTGTCTTCAGCAAGAATTCTGACAGGTCAGGTTAGCCAGAACGCCTTGATGTTTTATCTTAGTATTTTCTATCCAACGATCCTGATCCCTGTTCCTTCCTAAATTCTCACTTGCCCACATGTATTAGGGTTTGAGCCGAATCTCTCAACCCCACTGTAAAATCCCATTGCAGTGGTCCCTAAGCCCATTTCAATGATCCAGAATAAAGTCTGTCTTACAACTTTAACAGTGTCATTAAATACTTTTTTCTTTAACACAGTCTTTAACCATTCTCTACTGGCATGCTGGGATTTTTTGTTCATGGTATCCCAAGTAGAATTGATTTATCTTCAAGATTTTGAATTGAGATATTGTTTCTCCTTTAAAGTATACAATTCAGTAGTTGTCAGTGTATTCAAAAGTTGAGCAACTATCACCAGTCCCTAATTCCAGAAAATTATCACTCTAAAAAGAAACTCCCATGTTCATTAACAGGCATTGCCCATCATCACCTGCCCCAATCCCTGGCAACCACTAATCTACTATGGATTTGCCTATTCTGTACATTTCATATAAATTGAATCATGTAATACATAGTCTTTTGTGTCTGGCTCTTTCACTTAGCATAATGTTTTCAAAGTTCATTCATGATAAAGCATGCTATTTTTTCCTTATTTATTTTAAGAATCACACACACACACACACACACACACACACACACACACACACACACACACACACACACACACACACACACACACACACACACACACACACACACACACACACACACACACACACACACACACACACACACACACACACACACACACACACACACACACACACACACACACACACACACACACACACACACACACGCACACGCACACGCACACTCACTCACACTACTATGGTTAGAAAGTTTTAGTCCAGGATTACATAAATAGTTGCCTGTACTTTCTTTTGGAGTTGTTTTTACTTCTTTTAGATCTGTTTCTGGACTTTGTATCAGGTTTTACTTCTTTGTTTGCTCATTCTTCCACCCTAACAATAAGTGTTTAAATTACTCTTGATAGAATTAGTCCTTCATTTTTACTCTTGTTTTTAAGATTTTCCTAGTTCTTTGAGCTTATTTATTCCCCAAATTAATTTCCAAATCATTTTACTACATTCCAGAAAAATAATCATTGGGATTGTAGTTGGAATTATCTTCTACTTGCTTTATTACTTTGAGAGCTGATCTCTTCAAAATTGGAGTGTGGTAAAGAGAAAAAGAAATGATATTTTAGACCGTTGCTCCAGAGATGAGAATTCTTCTCAGAGGTGAGAAGTGCTATTATTTTGGAGGGTGGTGGTGGTATAGTTCAATTATTTCGTTGCTTAGGAAAATTGAAGTTCCCTGAGCCCCTGGTGTCATCTGGATGAGTAAGAGGAGAGAAAGAGATAGTTAAGCTCCTCTCCATTATAAAATAACAGGAGGTTTGAGTTCCCAAAGGCTATGAAGGAGGGGTTAAGTGATTCAGAAATCAGAGATGATAAAAGATGTTAAGAGACAGAAAAAAAGGCAATTCTAGAAAACAGCAGCAGGTGGGAGCTAAGAATAAAGGATAAAGTGAGAAATTCTCCACAGGAAATGACCCACAAACTTTAAGATATATAATAGTTAATTTTTCATTGCATCTTTTTTATGCTTTTTGTATTTATGTACTCTATCTGTCTTCCTTCTCCCCCACAATGCTTATTCACCACTAGCACCCTTAAAACATCAGCAAAAGTCTTATACAAAATAGCCCTGTATTGATGGTGCTCAGCTGGGCATGAAAGAAAAGACACCATGGCCTAAGACAAGGGTGACCAGGAACAGAGGTAGAAGCCACTGGAGCCCAAGCAGTGGTTAGTAGACATCTATGGAGGGCTTAGGATATGTTAAGTACTCATAAACGTACGGTGATTAAATGAATGAATAAATTAATGATCAAGTAACAGGAGAGCAGAGAAATAGTTTAGTTTGTATTGATCAAAGAGAACATATGCCCCTTGATCATCTCTGGAAGTTCTTAGAGATTTTCAAGAAACTGTTTGACTTTCTACAAGGTGTGGCCTAGAGCCATTTTATTCACATAATAAGAGAAGACTGAGCCCATATATCTGGGACACTTGAGATCATCTGGGTTACATAGGGCTAGCCCAACTATAAGCACCACATGGCCTTGGATACATTCAAAACTATGTTGATTTAGGCCTTTCTGTGGAGTTTTGCAGTGTTTTTCTTCATGTAAGCTCTATGGTCTTGTTGAGTTAATTCCTAGGCATTTTATATTTATTCATTTTGCCTCTGTAATGGTATTTGTGTTCCATTATATTTCCTAATTGCCTCTACATGAAAATGACTGAGTTTTTATATATTAATTTTATGACCTAACTGAACTCACTTACTGTTATAATGATGGTTTCTTGGCTGATTCTCTTGGGTCAATTGTGCTGCCTTGGACGAATGAGAGCCACAATGAGATCCCATCAAAAGCCTCTTTTTAACTATGTAGTAGAAAACATTAATTGTATCGAGTGCCTCAGGGAATAATTTAGGAGCTTCGAGGATGACAACTAATTTCTGGAATAAAATCTTAAGAAAATACCGAGTTTTACAGTGAAAAGGCTGAATAAAAGCAAAAAGAAAGAGGAAGATGATGAAAACATCTGACTAAACATGCAAAGACAGTAGCACAGGTGGGGAAGTCGCTGATTATTAGCTCAGGAGAAACAAGGGGGTGCAAGTAACCTGAACCCTTCCCTCCCTAAAGAGAGCGAGCCTAATAGAAGGCTGCCTCTCCCATTGGCTTAAGTGGGACATTATATCCATTCCATTGGCTCAGGAGAAAATTTATCTTTTGTAGGCCACTGAAAATGTTTCAATTAAAAATGTCCACTTAGCAAGAAAAAAGCAGTAGAAAGCCCAAAGAAAAGCTCTGATATCTGATATTCAAATTGACTTGAAATGACAAGTTTATCGAGAAAAAGTATGAAAGAATAGCTAGGAAAATCCTGGAAAACAAAGCCAAAAAGAACTCACAACAAGGTGGGGTTAGGGGAGGAAAGAGCTGCCAGCCCTACCAGACATAACATACTCTAAAACCTCTATAATTAAAACAATTTGATGCTAACACATGAATAGACCCAATTTTATATGGAAATTTAGGATATGATAAAGGCAGCATATCAAATCAGTGGGCAAAAGATAAACCTTTACACGTTGTTGAGAGAATGGCAGAGTAATGTGAAAAAAAGATAACTGTGCTCATTACAAATATCAGGCACCAACATAAGTTCCAAATGGGTCAGACATTTAAATGAAAAAACAGTAAAGAAAAACATATGGGTAAATTCTTCTGTTACTTGGGAATAGAGAAGCTTTGCTAACTAACTTGGAATC